CTTAATCTATATGTTAATTTTGGCTTAAAAACAGACAGATGGGGGAGTCTTAAACTTCCTGGTCCTCCTGTCAGTCTTAGGGAACCACATTTCTACAAGATCACTAATTGGCTTTATTGCAATGGTTGGGGGTGATGTTTTACCCTTGCAGGGTACCGTAATAACAGTAAAACTCATGGCAGAGAAATTGAATACCGGCCAGTTCAAGGACACAAGGGAAGGCTCGTAAACTGGGCCCTGCCTCAGTTTCTTCCCAGTCCAGGCCCTGCCTTAGAATGGGAGGCAGCATCCTTACCAGCTTGTGTTGCCTGCATGGCCCTGTCAGCCATCCCCCCACGGAGTGACTTCTTGCTTTTTGTCTGTCTCTCTATATCTCTCTGGTGTTTGCACATGCCCTATAGCAAAAATCTCTCCCTTCCTCCCCCCAAGAAAGGAAGTCCGTAACAAATAATTTGGGAGCTCAGATGACAAAAATAACTTCTACTGGGGCCAGCTGGTGGTGTGTGGTGGTTGAGGTGCTGGACTCTCACATGGCTGACTGTGGTTTGAGTGCAGACCTGGCGGCTTACTTTCTCACTTTCCCTCTGTCTGTCTCTGTCTCTCTCTCTCTCTCTCTCTGAGGGCACATACCCTATAGCAAATTTTAAAAAATAATAATAATAAATAAAATAGAATAAATAATTTTTAAAAAACTTATATTATTTCAGAAAACTGGGAGATTGGTTGCTTCAGCTCCATTAAAGTCATTGGAACTTTTTTGCTATGTTACCTTATTCTCAAATCCAGGTTTAAAGAGACAGGTTTTATTCATAACTCTATTAACTTTTCAGTCATGAATGTATCTTATGTTTATCATTGTTTATCCAATACTTTAAAAAAATGACCATTCAACAGATAAGGTATGAATGTAGTTATACTTTTAATGCTTTGAAGTAATTTCATTTTTCTCATTTTAATTTATTCTCTTTTTCTAAGGGGGAATGGTTAGTGTCAGTGATCTGAATAAAGTTCTTGAAAACTTTGGAATTAAACTCACAGAAAAAGAGCTTGAAGGTCTGACAGAAAACCTTCCAGTGGATGGTGAGCATGATCGTTGGTCTTCATTTCCATAGAATGACTTTTCCAACTTTTCACTTCCAATTTGTGTGTGTCTTTACTGATGAGGAACATTTCTGGCAAGGAGGATATAGAGGGCTTCTATTTTTTTTATCCATTCAGTCAGTCTATATCTTGATTGAGGAGTATAATATATTTACATTCAATGATATTATTGATATGTACAGAGTTACACCTACCATTTTGTTGAGTGGTTCCTGATTTGTATTCTTCCTTTTTTCTTCCATGTTTGTTTGTATTTTCTATTCAAAAGTTTTCCATAGTGATAGGGATTGAATCATTTCTCTTATTCCTTGTAGTTTTTCTGCTACTGATTGTTATATGTTTCATGTGTCTTTATTGTGATGGTTGTCTTTCTTTTATTTCTACATTAATACCCCTTAAGAATTTAAGAGACAATCTAGTATCAGTGAATTCCTTCAGTGTTTGTTTATCTGGGAATGATTTTATTTATCCTAACAGTGGGAATGGCAGTTTTGCTGGATATAATATTCTTGGTTAAAACTGATTTTCTTTCAGAATTTTGAATATGTCATCTTACTCTCTCCTGGCTTGTAAGGTTTCTGCTGAGAGATCTGAGGTTAGTCTGATGGAGTATCCTTTATAAGTAACTTGGCCCTTCTCTCTAGCCATTTTTAAAATTTTCTCTTTATTTTTGACTTTTTACATTTTGACTACAATGTGTCCTAAAGGTCTCCTTATGTTGAATCAATCTGGTGTCTTTCAAATTTCCTATATCTAGATGTCTTCATCTCTCTTTAGATTTGGAAAGTGTTTAGCTAATATTCCATGAAATGTATTGTCTATTCCTTTTCCCATCTCTGCACTTTCTGAGATACTTATTATACAGATATTCTGTTGTTTAATGATGTCCTAAATTTCCTCATGTGTTATTTTCATTTTTAATGATTATTTCTTCTTTTTGATAGTTCAGACTATTACAATGGTTGTGTCTTCAAGTTCCAAGATTTTGTGCAGTCTAACCTGTTACTTCTGTGCTCTACAGAATTTTTATTTCCAGTATTATAGTCTTCATTTCTAGGATTTCTGTTAGATTCTTTTTAAGTTCTCTGTTAAATTTCTCATCCATGTCATGGATTGCTTTTCTCATCTTCTGGAATTGTTTGTCGGTATTGTCTTACATCTCATTTAGTTTTGTTAAGATAAATATTCCGAAACTTGATTCTGACATTTTGGTGATTTCCTGCATTTTGTCCATTATTAATGGGAAGTTAGTGTGTTCTTTTGAAAGAGAAATACTTGCATATTTTTTCATATTTTTTGTGTCCATGTGTTTATGTTCATGCATGTGATTAAGTACCCCCTTCTTCCTGTTAGATGGGGTAGGTTCCCTTGTGCCAATGGCCACTCCAGCCCTATGAGGTGGTTGCCTGAGTTCTTGGACCCTATGTAAGGGGTGGAAATCCTTCTCCAAGTGAAATAGCCAGGTAAAAATCCTTAAAGTAATATTCTCTATATTCAATGGGTTGCTCTTAAGAGGCTTGTTAGGTACTGGATGAGGAGTTATGTGACCTGGGAGTGACTAGTTTAGTTCACCATTGATGTGCTCTCTCTAGACATGAAGGAGGTTGTCTACCACAGTAGTTGAATCTCTCCACAGCCATAGGCCCCTACCACCCAGAATTCAATGCAGGAGGCTGGGCTAGGAGTTATTGTTTGTGCAGACTGGGGCTCTGAGATGTCTTTTGTGGTGCTAGTAAGTAGCCAGGGGCACTGAGTGGGCCTCCAGGATGCAGGGAGGTGGGTACCACAGGTGCCACTGAGTACACAGGAAGGACTCTGGTGGGACCCTGTGGCACTAACAGGTGTCAGGAGATGTACTAGAGGCTTCTGGATGGGATGCTGTGGCACTAACAAATGCCAGCAATTGTGTGGGAGGGGTTTCTGAGAAAGATTGTGCAGAACACCAGCATATATGCCAGAGGCCTCTGGGTGGCCCTTTATTGTGCTAATGGGCATGCCAGGGAGATCTGAGCTAGTGTTTATGTCACTAACACTGCACACTTGGTGGGCTCCATGTTGCTAGTTGGTGCCTCTTGGCAGGCCTTTCCAGCACTAGCAAGTGCCAGCAGATGCTTGGGTTGTCCTCTGAGTAGTCCCCTGCAGTGCTAATGGGGGCCAGCAGGTGAGCAAGGGTTGGTTCCTACAGTGTTAGCAGATGCCACTGGGTGTGCCAGGGGACTCTGGGTGTGTGCCCACTGTCCCAGTCAATACTAGTAGGTGCACAGAAGGCTCTGAGCAAGCCTGTGCACGTACTTTCATCTCCTCTTTACCCAAATGGGAAGATCTCTATCAGTTTCCTCCCCATTAGACATTCCTCCCCTCCCCTCCCCTCCTCTGACACTCACAGTTCAGGGAGATCCAGAGAACTTGTGCTGCTGCAGATATCAACAGAGGGGGCAGGAATTTGTGTCTGGAGTTCAAATGTGGGGGAAAGGGAGTGCAAGTGAAGGACTACTATTTAGTCAGAGAGGAATGTTGGTTTCCTCCGTCTCTCCAGTCAGGGAGAGGAGGGTATGCTTACATGCCACCTTCTGTTACTTGGAGCAGTCTTACCACTGTGCTGCCTCATCTATATTCTGGAATACATAATGCTGCGTGGGCTTGGGCACTGGAGTCATAGCTTAGCTCAGTCCAGCCAGCGTTGTTACTATAGCCATCCACTCAGGTCGTATTAAATTCTTCTTTAAATACCGATAGCATTCATCAGCAAAGCCATCTTTTCTTGAGCCTTCTTTTGTTGAGAAGTTTTTGATTATTGATTTAATCTCTTTACTTATTAAAGTTCTTATATATTCTGTTTCTTCTTGAGTCACTTTTGGTAAATTGTGTTTCTAAGAATGTGTTTATTTCATAGTTTATACAATTTTTTGGTGTATGTGTGCATATAATTCTTTTTATTTCTGTAAGGCCTATAGTAATATCCCCATTTTCATTTCTGATTTTAGAATTCTGCCTCTTTTCTCTCTCTTTTTCCCCCTAAATCAATCTAGCTAAATATTTGTCAATTTTAGTGTTCTTTCCAAATAACCAATTTTTAATTTTCTTAGTGTTCTCTATTTTGTTTCCACTGTAATATTAATTATTCTCTTCCTTCTTTTTTTCTGAAACTTTTAAAAATTAATTAATTTACGTTCATTCCCTAAGTATTGTCACAGCATACAAAATGTGATTTCCCATCCATAATTTACTGCGTAGTGGCTTAATCATGCATGTTATTGTCCATAATTTTCCATTTCTAGTTTCATATGTATACATATAATATATATCTATAATAGATAGATAGATAGATAGATAGATAGATAGATAGATAGATAGATTTACCCCATGTCTAACCCTCTGTCCTTTCCCACCCTCCTCCCACACTATCTCTGCTGTCTACAATTGTTTTCCATTCCTTCCCCCCCACACACACATTTTATTGATCACACAATTTCTTATATAATCTAACTACTTTCAATAGCAAGTTCAGCTGGTAATTTCAAGAAAAGCAGTTTAATGTGTCTTGGAGAAGATCTTCTTGGGTTGATTCTATTTGGGGTCCTTTGTATTTCTTGAGACTGGATCTTTGAATGCCTCTCTAGGTTTGGAAACTTTTCTTGCAGGATTTCATGGAATAAATTATTAATGCTCTTATGAATCTCTTCGCCTTCTGGGATACCAGTTATATGGATGTTTGGATGTTTGGCAGTATCTAGTATTTCTTGCATATTATTCTCATTTTGGGGGGCAATTTTCTCAGTCTTTGTGGTGGATTTTTCTAGGCCAGCAATTTTCTCTTCTACATCCGAGATTCTATTTTCTGTATGATCTAGTCTGCTTTTAATACTTTCAAGGGAGATTTTGACTTCTTGTATTATAGCCTTCATCTCTAACAAGTCCATTTGATTCCTTTTTCTTTTTTCTTTTCTTTCTTTCTTTTTTTTTTTTTTTTTTTTTGGGTGTTTTTTTTTTTTTTTATTCTTTTTTATGGTATTTCCTCCTACAGATCGTGCAAGAACTTTCTCATTTCCTGGAACTCTAGTCTCTTTTCTCCTGCATCTTCTGGAGTTTGTTGTCTCTCTTCTCTTGCATCTCTGTTCCTTCATCACTATGAATATTCTAAATTCTTCATCTGACATTTCCACGAGTTCCTTTGTACTGTCTGTGGAAGATGAAAGGCTGTTCTTTCCCTTTGGAGGAGAGTTATTTTCTTGGTTTCCCATATTTCTTGTGGCCCTTTGGTGGTTTCTAGTCATCTGATGGATAGTAGTTTCTTTCTAATTCTTGAAGTTCAACCTGAGCGTTTAGAAGTGTGCAGAAGGAGGTGATCTGGAATATTTTTATCCCTTTGTGCAGCAAATTCAGTGGATATTGAGGAATATGTTAACTCTAATAGTATTTGGAGGTTTGATTATTGTTCCCTTAGATCTGTCTAGAAACAGAGAATGGAGATTGAGGAGAATAGTGATGAGATAAAAGAAAAAGAAAAGGAAACAGAGAGAGAGAGAGAGGGAGAGAGAGAGAGAGAGAGAGAGAGAGAGAGAGAGAAAAAAAAAGAAACAGAGGGAAAAAAAGGAAAAAAATTAATTTTTTTTAAAAAAGCAAAAAATTAAAAATTACCAAAAAATGAGAAGACAGAGACAGAGGCAGAGAGAAACAGAGAGAAGGCTAGAGGGGCTCCCTACCACTTGAGTTTGTGGGCTGGAGGCTGAATTATCAGTAGAAAATCTTCATTTCTCTTTTTTCCCTGAAATCACTAGTTCTCAGCAGCCATGGAGGAGTCTTCTCCTCAATTATTCCCTTCCTTCTACTAGCTTTAGTTTTAGTTTGACATTGTTCACTTCCAGGGGCTTATGAAGGGCTCAGTCTCACCTGAGGTATATGGTCATATGGAAGTTAAATTACAGTTCTGTGAACAAAAAGAACAGTAAGTAGTTATGACTTACTCATTAGTGGACAGCCACAAATGTCTGCCATATATATCCAAAGCCTATGCATAGACTGATTCATATTAGTGTTGTTTTACGTATTTAATAAATTAGCGAATTACCAGACAAAAAAACTTTTATGAGGAAGAATATTTCCTGAGGGAATGATAGAAAGATTGGATAGTTGTCTCAAATAACAGAAATCAGATATTTCCTGATAAGATGGTTGAAAATATTGGAGAAAAGTATTTTAGAAAAAGTTGAAAGATAAAAAGTATGAACTCTCCCATTCGTGATGATCACCATGGAATGTTATAACTAGCATAAATCAAATCTTGCACTCCTTGAAAACAGTATACCATTTTATAAGCTAGAGAGACCACATGATCCAGGAAACATGATTCTTAACTTCATTGGATGAGTTATTGAAATCTGATAATTATAAGTTGTGTATAGTTCTAGAAAATATAATAAAAGGTGCAGATCTTTACTGAGAGCTATAAATATTTTATATCTTTTTTCTAAGTATGTATCATCCATATTAATTGTGCCTTTTCTAATAGCTAATGGAAAGATTGTTCTCAATAAACTAGTTGATGAAGTGAAAACTGTTACAGGTGAGTGACAGAATACTCTGAATCTAAATTTATCTTATAAAAGATGCTGTCTTTACATCTCTGTTAACCATGCAGCAATTTTAATTTGGTTATCACGTTTCATACATATATGGACTTGGTCATAGTTTGTATTATATCTTCATTGAGCTATATACACAGTGCTGGTATTGCATGCATAGTGTATAAATTTCATTTCAATATGTAAGAATGGAAAAAGACGTATTATATGTAAAAAAATCTATATCCAACCAATTTTGAGGAAGGTACTTCAAAAATAAGTCTAAGTTATATGATAGCATTGTGTTATAAATTGACAATGTTTTTTCCTCCTCAGTGTTTTATAAAATAACAATGTATAAAATAACAATTTTATGTTCTATAAAATAACAAGGTGTCATGCCATGACAAAGGCAAGCTGTGGTGCAGATTAAAAACAAACAAACAGACAAACAAACAAAAAACCTCTGGGCCCAGTCTCTGGTACAGGAGATAGGGTACCCATCATTAATGCTAGAAGCTGGGTACTGATGGCTGTTCACAGCCATGGTGACCTGGAACCTGCTGGATGAGCACACCCAACTCTCGACTGGCTAGAGGAACTGGGGAAAGGAGATGACAGCACGAGACAGGTGCCTGCTTGTTCCTCTCTCTCCTCCCCCCTCAGTAAATGAAAACATTTTTAAAAATGGGAAACGAAAACTACTCTGAATCTAAGAACATAAATAATCATACTGGGTTATATTTAATATTTTTCATCATAACTATTATCCATACATTTTTCTCTTTATTAATGAATAGTATATATTCACTTTTCCCAGAATTGAACTGTAGATTAGCTATATTTCAGTAACAATACTTCTATACAAAATTTTGATAGCAAGTATTTTATTCTATGGCATATTTGTCAATAACATTTCATAACCACTGAGTTTAAATGACCAAAATTACAGGATAACACTGTAGATTAAGTGCAGCTTCAATAAAGATATAGGTAGTTGCTTAAAGACTAACAAGTTTTATCCAATGACTGAATTATGAAGATAAACCATCTAAATTATTGTAATTTATAATGGCACCTTTGATCACTACACTTCATGGTATACGATATTACCCTGTCCACGTAAATGTAAGTAATTGAAGTTTAGCTCTTGATACAGTAATTGGGATCAATACTACATAATAAAAGGTTATTTATTTTTGCATTTTAAAGCTTTCATTTTTTAAATTCTTACATTTATAATTCTTATTATTTGGAGGAGAGGACTTTGATATCTGTGATATAAATGACGTTCTGGAGAACATGGGGATAGAACTTACAGATGAGGAATGCTCGGAGCTGATGAAAATGTTATCAGTTGATGGTAAGCATTTACAAAGTAAGTATGACAATGATTTTTTTAATTGGGTACAGTTTTGCAGACTTTTGGCAGTATCTGGATATGTTTTTCTTGTTGCAACTGGATGGTGAAGTCCCAGTGGTATGTAATGGATAGTGGTTATGAATTAGTACACATCTGTAATGAATAGGACAGCACCCCACAACAAAAAAATTATCCAGCCCCAAATGTCAGTAGTGCTGCTGTTGGAAAAAACTCCAGTATAATCTTCAAGAACTTAGATTCTGTGCTTTTATGTAAGAATGTTTGTCACATTTGATAGTCAGGGGAAGAGCTTGTTTAAAAAAATTATATATATACATATGTATATATAAAGTAACTTAGGTCTACCTAAAGAAGAAGTCTTTAGTTGTATAATGTAGTTCTTCACTTGGAAATCAAAAAATGTATCATCATTACGAATCAATGCTGAGAAATACCTATAATTTATTCTTAATTCTACTGGAATATTTAAGGTTAAGCAAGGAAATTTGAGGAAAGGGAATTGGGGTATACTATTAGAAATTAGAATAAGAAAAATAAAAGGAAGATTTTAAAAACTGTGTATTTCAGGGCTAGAAGGTGGCATAGTGGTTAAGGCACTGGACTCCCACATGGCAGACCATGGTTTGAGTCCCAGACCTGGTGGCTTATGTTCTCTTTCTCTCTCTGCCTCTCTCTCTGGTCAAACTGAATAATAATAATAATAAATTAAATTAACAATTCTTTTTTAAAAAATTAAAGAAAAATTGTGTATTTCCACACAGTAAAATAATAATAATATTGGCCTTACATGACAAAAAAGAAAAGGTGGCCATGTTTCTAAAGTTCTGTGTACCATGTTTTTATAAATTGTTGTAAACTGGACAAATTCTAGAACCTTATTTCTAAAATAATTTTTAAAGAATTATTTTTTTAATTTATGATATTTTTTAAAAATTTAAACATTTACTTATTTATTCATCTATTTATTTGCTGTGATTTTCAAGCTGCCAGGTCTGGGGCTCATACCACCGTTGTCTCTGTGGGAGTGCAGTGCCCCAACCACCATACCACCTACTGGCCCTAATATCAATACTTTTTAATTTGAGAGAGAGA